AAGTCAAAAAATACACTTTGCGAAGTTTACTTTTTTATCCAACTTTTATTTTATAAAATAATAGGAAAAGTCCGCTAATTTGTCCGATTTTCTTTAATAGGTGCAGCAAGTCTAGAGAAAATAATGGGAATTGCGGTAAGTAAATTCGAGAGCTTTTTAAATACATTTCCAGAAATCGAAGAGCGAATATGTGTCAAATTGCTCAACTACAGAAAATATGAAATTTGAAGAATTCCTAGACACAGTATTGTATGGGCGAATAAAATTAATAGAAAAGTTAAAAATGTTATCATATGCGGGGAACATTAGCTTTTATGGTTTCAATAGATTATCAATGCATTCCAATAATTATAAAGGTAGATTGTTTGTAGATTTCAAACCGTCATTCGAGAGGGGAGTACGTCTAGGTCTAAATGTGGTTGTATGGAAGAAACTACGTAGTTAAAATTTCGACTATAAAAATTATAACAAGAATTACGAATTTGGGGATAGCGAAGTAAAGTGTTAATTCTTCGCAGTGGTACATATTATGATTTTGTTAATTTCTTTCTTTTGACCACTTTTTTTATAATTGCGTATTCTACCTACAAGTAAATATATTAGCATAGGAAAAATAAAAAAATAAAAATATAAATTAATCTGATCAAAAGACGATTGTACCTAAAATCTAGGGATTGTACCTAACGTACCTTTAGGTCGACAAACGTTAGCTTCGTACTAGGGATCTTGCGAATGTGGATGCGGATGTTAAAAAGCTAACATCCGCGGATGCGGTTGTCAAGTAGTTTTAAGAAATAATTTAGGTAAGTAAATTAGGTGATTTACTGGCACTGTTTTAACTGAAAAGGCGACTGAAAATTTCACAAACAACAAAAATGAGTAAAGGGCAGAAAAACATAAGTCAGCCGAGGTCGAGTGGTTTGTGTGAAATCAAGGCACACACCGCCAATCGGGGGAGAAGCTCGGCCATGTCAACGTCGGCGTCAGCACAATTCAGCACTCTGACATATGTTTACAGACTCAGCGCTGTATGTATACGCGTATACATAAATTAACATTAATATTAATTAAACATAAATTATTCATTCCATCTATCCAATTTCGTGATCTCACCGGGTATTGCTTGCGACGCTCGTTTTGCGCTTCATCGACCATGCCATATCCTTTTATATTCGCTATTTTCTGAAATCGTGCTAAATTGAAGTCCGACAAATAAATTATTGTATACATTAATTAAACTTTGGCGTGTTATTTGTTACAACTTTTAAATTGTGCTTGCTGTCGGCCGTGTATCCCCCAGATTCGGTACGGTAAAGAATTTCGTGAGTGCGATATAAAACCCCGCGAACTCCTCGCCTGCAGTCAGTCAACCTCCAGCGCTACTAGTCGCTTCCAGCACCGACCGCAATTGCCCAACTACCCAGTCGAGTCCACCGCCTGCTCGCAACCACCCACCAATCAACCAGTTGCCTAGTCGACCGAAAGTCCGCCAGCCGCGTGCCAGTCTACCAATCGTAAAGCCGCCAACGCCACCACCAGCAACCTGCAAATTTAGTAGCCGCCTCCATCCGACCAGCCACAGCGTTAGAACCTCCAGCCACCGGCGCTTCCACCAAGTGCAACCCAAAAGCTACAACCCAGACGGCTGTAAATGGTCCTTCGAGCCGAGAATTTAACACTAGCGACTTAAACCGTATATAAGTATCTGCAAAAGCCGTAAGTAAAGCTATTTTCTTAATTTCCCTATACTACGGCTACATACATACATATCTATATATATTTTGTAAAAA